ATTAATAATACGTAGTTGGAACTAATTTTATAACGCCGAATAACCTTGCACGTGTCTATTGCATCACAAATATTTCATCACTTTAATCTCTTTAATTGAAATGTACATAATATTATAACTTTGTCCTTTTCATTGATTTTCAAGTATAACATGCGCATGTATATATGTATTGTAATAATAACATTTCCAGAACTTCAAAATAAAACTAAAGCTTTATTTTACAATAGTAGCCTTATATTGATAACTACCTTGTATTAATAAAATGTATTAGTATTTAAGACAAATTATAAATGATTTGTTTTAATTATACACTATTGTTTAATTTTGTAAGATTGTGAAACTATTATCACGATTTATAAACCATTTCTAATGGCATATTCTTTAAATGCAGCATTTTGTACTTACATAAATTTTACAAAATACAATTGCAATTGTATGACATGATAACTAGCGTAAATTAATTGGTACATTTTGAAATAGTTAAATTAAATTCTTGAATTATAAAATTTACTAAAATTATAATGATACGTGTTAAATGTGTAACCTATTTGCAAATGACAATAGATAAGTAAAATTTACCTTTATAGTCCGAACAATGTGTAAAATCCACAAATGGTTAAAAAATTTTATATACTTCCGTACTGCTTTTTCTTGTGACTCTATGATGCAACTACATAGCATTTCATTACGTGAAATTCACGTACGAATTTCTGATTTCATGGAACTCCTTCATGAACGTGCAGAGCAACGGTGCTGCTCCTACCGGATCTTTAAATTTATAACCGCGGGCAATCTCTATATTTGACGGTTGACGTATAATTGTATGTGTGTTTTTGTAAATGTTTGATTGCGTTTTGTGTTAAATACAATCATGTATACAAAAATTTTATGGAAATTTGCAGAATGATTCATAAAATGATGATCAACGTTTATAACTAATCAATTTTTAAATTAATTACATTTACGGTATTATAAACTCAAGCATATAATTACTCTTTGTTATTCATTTTGTACAGTTTAATCATTTTGTATTGAATTTTCTAGAATAATTTATCTGTGCAAATAGAAAAGATTTATTTATTTATATATTTTGGTTTCATGTATAGTGTTTTATGACATTCCTATATTCTAGATTTTTAAGTCAAATTTTGAAAGAAATGTTATACAAATATAATAACTGCAAGTTCGTTGCTGTTCTTTTTGTATTTCATAGTTTTGTATAACTTTTTAGTAATCCTTCAAACGACCTTAAGTATGTTTACATAACATTTTTTCCTTATTGATATCCATGAAATAACTGACGAAATTTTTGCTGGAAAAAACTGAAACATCCTATATATGTTCATTCTCTTATTGGCCGATAAAGAAGCGAGGGTTACGTGCTTAAGATGCCCTTATATGTTGTATGCTTGTGCATTAAGTCAGAAAGCTGTCAAAAAGAAATAATCGTTTAACAGAATCTCATAAAATAGTGAAATAAATAATGATTGACAGTGATTTATAATTGAATAACATTTTTGTGTAAGTTTGTAGTAGATAATGCTATCAGGAAATATATGTCAAAAATTAAATTATATTAACTTGTCAATTATCAAGTCCATAAAAATATTAAAACAATACTAAAGTTATATAATTGTATAAAAGTTTATACGATATTTTCAGTTTATTTTTATAAGATTTTTAAAATTAATATATTCACGTGTAACAGTATTAACACTTCAAAATAGTGACAATTGTATATTGTAATACAACATAAGATTAACTACAATTATGGCAGCAATAAGACATACATTACAGAGAGAACTATTTACGCCTAGTGATGAAAAATTATTGAGTGTATGTTATGTGAGTAAAGCATACAAAAAGAAAAAAATGAGTTTTCTGTGTTTAACTACAACTACAGACACACCTTCATCTTTACTTTTATATCAAGTAAAAAAAAATGATAAAAATATATTTAAAAAGAAACAATCATGGTCATTGAGTGATATACAAATTGTGGATGGAGTTAAAAATGATTCTATGGATATAGAATTACATATTGATAAAGTATACAAATGGTCAGCAACAACAGCACAAGAGCGAAGAACATTTATAAGTAATTTATATACTTATTCTTGCAATTTAGCTCAAAGGCCACAATTTAGAAATATTCCTAAAGAGTGGCTTATAGACCCTAGTTCATTGAAAGAAAGCGATAGTATTACTTTCACACCAGGTAAATGTTACAAGTAATTTCTCAAAAAATATAAATATACTTATTTTGTCTTTATTCAGCTAAAATTTATTTCTATTTAAAGTAAATATCTTTATTTTAATTTGAAATATAACAGTGTATTAGTGTTTATTTCATATAATTATTTCATAGAATTATTATATGAATTTAAAGTTCAATTGAATAAAATTACTTTATTTTATGTAATCAAAATAATTTCTGTTAATACTTTTGCTATAATACTTTTAGAATTATTAACATCACCTATTTCATCTGATTATCAACCTATTACTGAAAAAGAAGCTGCTGATTTAAAACAAATGATGGAAGACTGTGAATATGCAGTATCTAATGCTGAATTGTTTATGGAAACACTGTCTAAAGATCTCTCAATTCTTGATGGGGTAACATTGTAGTTTTATTAAATTATCAGTTATAATTCATGTTAGTAAATTCTAATTTAAAATTAACACTTTATTAATGAATGTAGGAAAATGTACAATCAGTTTTGGCATCAGAGGCTTGTGTAACTCAATTGATGAATAGTATAG